CAAGAAAAGGAAAAAATGGAAACAAAGTCTTTGTAAATAGGGGAGGTTGGAGGGGGTGAAGGGAGGGCAGGGGTATGGGGAAAAAACGAGAACCAAGATCTGTCATGTGAAGGTACAAGATCCCAATGATGAATGTAATTGTACTGTATACTTTAAAAGTACCAGTAAAGTCAATAAGAAAACAAAAAAGATTCTGCCTTGCTTTGAACACATTTACCCCATCATTCTTACCAGTTCTGGAAGTCCTCTTTTGTAAGTTTACAAGGTTCAATTAAAAAATACAGTGAGACAAATATTGAGGAAAGTAAAAGATTTTTATCCAAAATATTTTGAAGATTGGCAATAATATGACATATTTTCTTTCACCTTCAAAATGGCTTAGTACTTATATAAATTATTATTGTATCAATGTTTTCTATCATTATATTTATTATAGAGCATATATTTAGCCTCTTCCTTTCCATGTTGGGTCATTCTCTGAAAAATAGCTATTCATCTTTTCAATCTAAATACTAGATGTTGGTCAAGTTATATTCTTTATGGTGGTATTTCAGCAACATGAGAAGTAATAGTTCTATGCTGTGATGTACAGTGTTCTCGATAAACTTGGCACTTGGAGCTTGGAAAGCTGGCCTCATCCAGAAAACTTGGCAAGACGATCATTCTCTATTAACTTTTTCCTTGGTTATTTATCAGACCTAACGTCACCTGAATTTCTGGTACTTGTGGCTTTTAGGATGTGTATTGTTCAGTTTCCTTAAGTGGAAAGCATGTGGGGACTTTTATACACTGTGTCATTTCAAGACATTGTGATAAACTTTAGCACGTGGCCTGCCCTGTTCTCTTCCTACAGAACCGTGTTGGTTTTCCCATACCTGGTTCTTGTTGATTTCAAAAGACGGCTTGTATCTTAGTGCTTATATTTCATTCAATTTGTTTCCTGTATTAACCCATTAAAAACACTGGATTATTGTTTTTCCTATACTTTCCTCGTAAGCTGTAGGAATGATACAGTTATGAAACATATGGAAGTATAATAAAAATTGTATAGATTAAAAAAAAATACAGTGAGGGGGCCAGGGATTTAACTCAGTTGTGCCACCACCTACCTTGCAAGTGCAAGGACTCGAGTTCTATCCCTGGTATGAAAGGAAAGAAGGAAGGAAGGAAAGAAAGAAAGAACAGTGAATGCTACTGCCTAGTACCGTCTGAAGACAGGATCATAAAACCAATGCAGTGGATCATTTTCTATTTTATTCACTCCATCTGGTACCGTGCAGCTTCTGGCTGTCCCCGAAAGTCAAAATGATCATGAAAGGTAAACATTTTGAGTTGATTCAGAACGTCGAGGGCACTATAACAGTGCAACTAAACACACTTCATAAATATATATAGATCATCGTGAAATTTGGAACACTAGAGATAGCAGTTCCTGAAACCTTAAATATAAAAAGAGAACCAACACTGTCATCATCAGCCAGTGTTGAAAAAACAGAGCGATGTCTTTAAAGATTAAGTGAAACTAGACTGGGGATTTAGCTCATTGGCACCACACCTGACTCACGAACACAAGATCCTGAATTTGATTACCAGTACTGAAAAAAAAAAAGAAAAAAGGGCCAGGGATTTAGCTCAGCGGTTTGGTGGCCTACCTTGCAAGCGCAAGGACCCGAGTTCAATCCCCGGTACCAAAAAAAAAGAAAGAAAAAAGATTAAGCAAAACTACTATGGATGAGATGAAAATCATATCACTTCCAGGCAAGCAAGAACTCAGAGAAAGTTTACCTCCCTTGTGAAATCAACACGATCTAACCATAAATAGCTGATAGAATTTATCTTTGTTGAACATTTGCTAATATTTTCAAAATCCTATAAGCTTTCTTTATAGTCTTATAGAGAACAATTTTTTTAAATGTTTAACTATCTTTGTTACCTTTCCCCTCCTAACATGCTACCCCATTAGTCTGCTAATCTGCTTTTCAATACCCTTTTCTTACAATTTCCCATATATAATGTTTGAAAAATCTTGTTTCATGGTTAATGATTTCATTCTTTAAATTTTTATCTAGTTTCTTTATCTAATTTAACAGCTATTTAGGTAGTTTTTTATAATATTTGAAAATGTATAAGTAACAGTAAAGATAAATGTTCTGTTAGTGGGGATGAGGGAGAGTTTTACACTGTGATGCTTTAATTTTAGAAATGTGGAAAGAGCTTAAAATTTTTTTTAATGAAGCTTAAATTTTTTTATCACTCCTTATGCTTCCTTTTTTAGTTTTTGGAAATCTTTATTGTGGTAATGTAAAATTTGCCACTTTAGCCATTTTTAGATTGGCAGTTCAGTGGCATTAATTACATTCAAAGTGTGCAACCCCACCAATATTTTCAAAATTGTTTCATTGCCCCAAACAGAGACTCTGAAATCATTTAGCAATAATTGCCCATTTCCTTTTCCTGTAGCCCCTGGTAAATCTTTCTTTTTCTATGTAAATCTTATTTGTATAGTGCTACTAAGAAGTATAGATAAGATTCATTATAAAATAACATTTTATAATTATATAATATTTTGCTACCCTTATCAACAGTGCCTTGGTTACCTATTAGTCCATAACAAATTATTCTAAAATTTAGTTTCTTAAAACAGTAGCCATATATTATTTCTCAGTGGGTGAAGATTCAACAAGGGTACAACAGGGATGACATGTTTGCTCCATGATGACTGGTGCCTTTGCTGGAAGATCCAGAGACTGAGGTCTATACACATCTGAAAACTTACGTGTCTGGCAATTGATGCTGGCTACACTTGTTGGCCTTTCTTTTGCTGTCAGCTTAAACACCCATACATGGTTTCTCCACGGCCTGACCTTCCCCACATATGGCAGGTTCCACAGGCCAATGTCCCATTAGAGAAAGAAAGGGAAGGTGAGTAGGGATCCGGCCAAGTGGAAGCCATATCACCTTCAATGAATAAGGCTCAAGTCACATAGCATCACTTTAACTGAAAATTCAGGGGTGAGTTCATTACCCAGGTTCAAGCAAAAAGGACAGCGACCCCACTGCTCAGTGGAAGCCTGTCAGTGTCATTATGAAAAGAGCATATTAAACAGCATAAGAATTGATGTAACCATCTTTGGAAATATAGTCTGTCACACAGTATGTCCAACATAGTTCCCAACTTAGCCTCTAGCAGGACTTCTATAAATTAACTCTTTAGACTACTAGCTACTCGATCATAGTCATAGATACCCTACTTTCTCTAATTAGGAAATTGAGATTTCCACATTGAGAAGGAAATGAAAGATATGAGATTATGTTATAAGTATTTTTAGCCAAAGGAAATTATATTTGTTATAAGCAAGAATAATTATTAAAATGAATCTATTAAAAAGGCTGTTGTAATCAATAGTTTTAAAGATATTTTGAATTACAATTTCTGGTCAAGGTTAAACATTTAATATGACTAATACTGTGAACACTTTTTATTTATTCTTCAGGTTTTTTTATTGGCACACTTTAGATTTAGATACACATAATGATAACATTTATCATAGGGAATTTGTACCTATACATGATATATCTTGTTTCTTCTTTTTTTCCCATTCCCCTCCCCTTCCTTTTATCCCTCTTCCTCTCTTTATTTACAAAAGCTTTGATTCCAGTTTTCCTTCCTCTCCCTTCTCATTTCACTTTCTTACTCTCCTCGTTTGAAAATTTTCTCCCCATTTCCCAATATCCTTTATACATTTTGGTCCTTATTTATACTTTCAGTTTCTCACATGAGAGAAACAATGTGGTATTTAAACATGTATGTCCAGTTTGTTTCACAGAAGAATATGGTCTCAAAAAAGAAGTATGGTCTCAAAGTGCATCCATTTAACTAGAAATGTCTCAAGCTTGTCCTTTATGGCAGAATAGTACTCCGTTGTATTTAAAAAAAAAACATCTTCCTTATCCATTCATCTGTTGGTGGGCACTCGGGCTGTTGCCAAAATTTAGCTATTACAAACTGCTGCTGTAAACGTGGGTGTGCTATAGATCACTGTAGTATGATGCTTCTGATTCTTTCATGAAGATAGCAAGAAGGGGAATAGCTGCATCAACAGAACCTCTAGTTTTATTTTTGAAGGAATCTCCACACTGATTTCCACAGTGGCTGCACCAGTCTGCACTCCCACCAATAGTGAACGAGGGTTCCTTTTGCCCCACAACCCCTCGAGCATTTATTATTGGTTGATTTCTTGATGACAGCCATTCTTTCTAGAGTAAGATGTACTCTCAGTATTATTTTAATTTATATTTCTTGACTGACTAGTGATGTGGAACTTCTTTTATATATTGTTTACTCTTTCTACTTCATCTGAAAAGTGTCTGTTGATTTCAGATGCCCATTTTTGGATTGGGTCTTTAAATTTGGGGGTCTGATTTTTTTTGAGTTCTTTATATATTCTAGATATTAGTCCTTTGACTGAGGCACAGCTGGCAAAAATTTTTCCCACTTTGTGGGTTGTCTCTTCACACTGTTGGTAGTTTCTTTTGCTATACAAAAGCTTTTTAATAAGATGATATCCAGGGCTGAGGATTTAGTTCAGTGGTTCCACCACCTGCCTCATAAGCACAGGTCCTGCATTCGATCTCCGGTTCCAGAAAAAAAAAAGTTCCCAGTTGTTGATTCTTTGTGATATTTCCTGTGTGATTCATCTGAAGTATTAGAATAATAATAGCACCTACCTCATGGAAGTGGCACAAGGATTAAATGTGTTAATATATATAAAGTGGTTGGCACTAGTAAGTGCTAAGTCGAAAGACAGGAAGTACATGGATGTGGTATTTAGTCATATACATATTTAGTCATACATAGTATATATTCATAACATAATTGAATTCATCTTCTAAAAGTTTTTAAAGGATAAGACAATGTGGTTAATGAAAATGTTTTGTTAAACTCTTTCATTTAGGAAAAACAATTGTTTGTTAATTTGGTAACTATTTGCTTTTCCTAGTTTGAAAAAGAAAAACAGCATGATATTCGATCATTCTTTTTACCAAAACCTAAAAAAAGACAGTTGGAGATTTCCTGTGATGAATCAAGGATATACCAAGAGAAACATACTATAGTGGCATCCGACCCTACTAAAATTGATACAAGGGATATCATTAAATATGAAAGTGATTTTGAACCTGAAATTAAAAGACTGAAATCAGTTACCACCAATGACTACAGCCATCCCCTGGACAAGAAACCATCCTGGGCCAGGCAAACCAAAGCTGCATTCATGGAAGGTAGCCATGAGGCCAAGAACCCATCAACTACCCCATCTGTTCCTGAGAAGGGCTGGCAATGTAGTTTCTGCACCTATATCAATAATTCAGTGCTACCTTACTGTGAAATGTGTGAGAATCCTCAAGGCAGTGCTGGTGAGTACAAGAAAGATGACCATGGAGGTGGGACTGGCAGTGGTATCTTCAGATAGCATGTGCTTTTAGAGATGGCTGTTACCAAAGGTTAGGTGACTCAGCATTGATTTGATTTGTAAAATGGAGTAAGAACTTGATATACTGAGGACTGTGAGTATATCCCTTGTGGAATGTGAAAAGCTCCTGGTTCTGTCAAGAATGTGTATCCTCAAGTATCTATGATATGACATTAATTTGGCACAAATGGACATTTCTGATTAATGTCAGCAGGATGTGAATAGAGTGGACAGGAATAGAAGTTCTGTTGCTATGGTAACAAATATGCCTTTTAGTCATAGACCTGCTGTTTTCTTTTCTCCATAGAGATATTTGTTTTTAAGAAAATTATAGATTATTTTTGTTCAAATAGCAAAATAACTCAGTGTAACTTTTTTGCCTACTCAGTATACCATTGTGTCATATTTTTGCTTGACAAATAAAAACTCAAGATTTTCTTTAAGGAACCAATTTGATGTCTGTTTTATGAGTTTCTTCTCTTCCAAAACTTTATATTAAGGTTAGCGGTTATAAACATACTTCAGGTATGCGTGTGTAGCATGATATGCCATTTTCTGATATTTCCTGTCTGAAATGGTTATTAATACCCATGGCTATCATAAGAAAAAGGTCATTAATATTCTTTTGTTTCCAGTTGTAGAGAACATTTTTATGCCATTGAAATGGGTCAAGTTGATGGTTTCAAAATCTAAAAATGCTTATTTTATCAATAGTAATAATTGTTCATAACTAATTTCCATTATATATTAATTCTTCAGAGTATTTACATAGGACTGAGCCTGATATAAACCCTGTTACTTCAGTTCTTTTGTGCTTTACTCTCCTCCCTTAGATTTAATCTGAAGGAAAATGTGCTCAGTAGCTAAGATCTTTTTCTTGCACTTTTGAGTGCTTCAACCAAAATTTACAAGTCTGCCGTCTGGGTGATTATATTTGTAATGTGGGCACCTATTGTCTGTGAACTAAATTGGAACCACAGGCTCATTCTACATACTATATTTGTCATAATTAGCGTGATACCATGCAATTCTCAACTGCCACAGGCAATAAAAATAAAATATATGATGACTATACAATGTCGGTTCACTTATGTGTATACATTAACTGATTTAGCAAGAAAAATCATGCTTTAATATGGATTATAAACAATGTTTAATATATTTCATTATTATCTAGTATTATAGTTTATGGTTTGTTAAAAATATGGATTATAGTTATGACTTTTGTGTACTAAGAGCAACAATGAAAATTCCTAGAACCATGATTTAATGTTGTCAAGCAACTTTAAAAAGCAAATAAACTACCTTCTGCAAATATGAAAGCCTGAGAGAAATGTAAATATTTTAATTAACTTGTGATATTACTATATCTTACAGTTAAAATTATTAGACTTACATTACTACAATTTGGCATGATTTCCAACCTTGATTTGATGTACACCAGTCTATTTAAAAGCAGAAATAATTCTAATTCATCTACATTTTTTAATAGTGCTTTCCATATAAGTCTTTGAGGAAAGGATGGAATCCAAAAAATTACAGATGCCATATTAGAATAACATATGTAAAGATTGCTAATACAGTCTCTAACACATTAGAGAAAACGTGAAGTGGTACTGTATCCATTGGATGCTAATATTTATCAATATGTAACTTTTTTGTTCTTTGTTCTTATCATCTGTAGTTTATTCTTAACAATTTACAGTTCAAATGGCCAGCTCTCACTTGAGTTCCATTCTGGACATATCCAGGGGCCAGATGTCATGGGAACCTGAAGCATAACATAGCCAAAAGAGAATTCTTATTTCATCACCATTAAAACATCTAACACCCAAATCTTCTCCCGAGTCTTCCTACATCATGCTAAAAACCTAAGCAGTATCTCTTCCTTATCTCCCATATGTGATACATCATGTTACCTCAAAAATGAACCTTTACTTCAGGCACTTTTTCTTTATTGCTACCAACCTACTAGAAAGCCACCATCATTCTTTCTTCTAGATCTCGGTAGTCCCATTTCTACTCTTCTCCACTGTGATCTTTCTGTGCACAGCAGCCAGAGTGATCCTTTAAAAAATTAGATCGTCATTATTCTTCTGCCTAAAACTCTCCAGTGGATTCTGGCTGCACTCCAAATTGAATCCAAGGATATAAGCTCCTATGCTAAGCTTCTAGGTTTATGAGCAGATCTGAATTCACATGGGACCCCTTTGAGAATCTGGCCCCAGCTACATTTCAATATTAATATTCTAATTTTCCTTCAATTTTTTCGGATTTTGCCCTTTACTTACCACCCTCCACTGCTCCTAATTCTCTTACAAAAACACAGTTTGGTTCTCTTTATGTGAAGATGCACTTTTTGTTTGTTTATATTATCATCTACCCCACCACTTAATGAACCTCAGGAAGCTGGGACTTCTCTGTCTTGTTCCATGCTGTCTCCCTTGCATCTAGTATAGGGCAAATAGTAGATGCTCACTAAATTTTTTGAAAGAATAAACAAGTATCGTTAACTGTTTCTTTTTGTAAGACCTAGCTGTGACATTTTAAAATTTTATACTTTTAAATGTAATTTATTTTAATAATCCCACAAACAGACAGGCCCAACCATATCCAGGCTAAGAACAAAAATAAAGAAGATGATCCTCAGAAAAACACCTCTGCAAATATTGAAGCTAGCTCATACTGTGAAAAACAAGTCCTTGCACAGTCAGAACCTGACCAGTTGGCTGAGAACAAGGGAGAAACGTCAAAAGAGGAGAGGGAGGACACATTCGCACTCCAGCCAGGTAATGGTAAGTCTTGTCTCCATTCCTTGCTCCAAATGATAACCATGTCCTTTAACACATAACACTGTTAACTAGATTTGTGAGTGCTTGTTCCGGGTTCCTTTTAGTCCCTTTTATGTAAAAGAAATACCAACCATTTCTGACCACATGCTTAAGGACCAGATGGCTGGAAGAGCAGAAAATGTCTGTTGGCATTAAGGCACTAGTTCCAGTTTTTTTACTTTTCAGATCAGTGAGAATTCCACACAGGAAATAGACTTCACATCTTCCCACTAACACAGATTTCCATAAAAAACACAAAGACAAAGGAGGCTATGTTAAATGCTTATTCTACTTATACTTGCTCTTCTAAAACCACAGTGATGCATGCTACTCTGGAACTATAATTTTCTAAATAGAATTCCAGAGGTCTGGAAAGGATGACTGTGTCTTCAAAAGATGCATCATTTATAGTCTTGAACCATTAAATTACAATTTATGGAAAGAGTGAAAAGAGAAATAGTTTGCCCTAAGGTAGCCGTAAAGTACCAAGAATGAAGTCTGTCTTGAAATTGATCTTATAGTTCTTTTTCTCAGAGAATGATTTTTGTTATTGTTGTTGTTATTGTTATTGTTGTTTAGAGATATGGTTTTGCTTTGTGGTTTAGGCTGACTTTGAACTCACTGTGTATCCTAAGTTGACCTCAAACTCACATTGATCCTCCTGCCTCAGCCTACCAAGCAGTGGCATCCACCACCATACCCAGTTAAAAGAATGATTTCTGAACTTTAATTGTTAATGTATACTTCTTCAAATATAAAGACACACTGATTATGAAATACACTTATTTCATCAACTATTCAAAAAGAAAAAGTACTCTACCAATTAGACTATGACACAATACTTCAACAATAGCCCACACCAGGCTATAACACTCTCTGTTGCTTTGATATTTCTTTTGTTTGTTCTGAGGGATTTGGCAGTATCTTCTGCTTTCAGTTGCTTTGCTTGGCATATAATAGGCAACAAGTTTGCATATGTCAGTAATCAAATGTAAGACAGCTTCCTGTATTTGCAGAGATTTCTTTTACTTAGGTCCCATGAAGCACTGTTACTCCTTTGCAAGAAAATATTTTAGTTATTTTCCCAACGGTATATATTTGCTTCTTTGATATCAAATCTACTTTGTATATAAGTGTTTTTGATAGACATATCTTTTCAACAGCAAATCATAGTGAAATTTTTGAAGACATTTTAAATACATTTTGACATTTCAATACATGTTGTAACAATAATGTATCATATTTGGTTTTGAAGTCACACTAGTATTATGGCTATTGACTGAGTTCGTGGGTTCTAATGCAGTGACAACTAGTTCACAACTACCTACCACCTGGCCAAAAATGCTTGTAAAAGTGCCACTATTATAACTGATTCTAAGACACACCAGTTTCAGAGATGTTAAAGTACATTTTTAAATTTATAAAATACAGGAATAAAACATAAGCCAAATTAAGTGGCCAGTGCCCGAATTAAAAAATAATAATTTAACAACATTTCCAAGTAGAATGGCTGCAAGTCCTAGACTTCTAGATCTGGGAAAGTGCATTAAAAGGTCACTGAGGAACTATGGCCAAGTTAAGAATACAAGATCTGGAGCCAGATTACTGGGTTTAAATCCATGTACCTTGTGCAAGTTAATGTGCCCTAGCTTCTGAGTATTTAAAATTCACTATTGATTTGTGAGAGGTATATTTAGGACAGTACTTAAAACAGTGCATGGCTTGATACATGAGTACAAATTTAATTATTGAGTCCTGCTTTGATAATTCTGTCTGTCCTACCTAACATTAAACTGTGGGACTGAGCAAAGGTTAAATAATTATATCCACTTGTCTTTTGTGAATGCAAAAGACATAGGGAATAGACATAGGGAATCAAGCATTCAAGGGGCCCTCAACATACAAGTTATGATTGAAAAGTATAGTGATTTTTTAAATTTGGAAAAAATGTATTACAGCAAAGGACACATTGCCATTAATCCTCCACACAATACTCCCCCTTGCTTTGAACACTTATTGCATCATCTTGCTGCTTTCTGAAGCACTTCAGGAAAACGTCTTTTGTGTCTTTAGTTACACTGTCATGGCTGCCTCAGTGTCCTGAATCCATTCAAAATATTTACTTCTGATGGCCATTTTGACTTTAGGGATGAGCCAGAAGTCATATGTTATCAGAGCCAGTAAATAAGGTGGATGAGGTCACACTGTAATGTTTTTTATGAGCTTGCCTTTCTGTTGGATGCAACTGGGCAACAGGTTTCACCTTTTTTTTTTATCATATCTTGTAAAGATACTCATGAAAGGACTTCAGACTGCTTCAGAAAGTGGCCAGAATGATGGGATACATGTGTTTGAAGTGAGGGAGAGTATTTTCAGGGAGATTAATGGCATTATGCTTTTTACTGTAATTTTTTTAGTTTAAACAGTCACTGTATGTTTTAATCACACCTCATAGCTGGATTCCTACTGATAAAATGGTGCCCATTTAGTATCAGTTTCATTATACTCTAGCAAAAGAGATAGAGCTAAATGTTTTAGGACTGATAGCAACTCCTGGTGACGGGAAAATGTCCTTTATGTCTACCTCATATCTTTTCTATTCTGAGTGTTTATTTCTTGTTGGGTCATTAGCAAAAATGAAATTAGCTGGTTGCCATATACACCAGTGTTCTTTGCCAAATATTTTGATATTTTGTTATAGCTATTTTATCATTCTAACCTGCAAAAGATTAAAATAAACTCTCCTAGGAAAAAAGATGAGCAAATTTTCTTTTGTTTTCTTTAGTAGAGAAATTGAAGAGCTCAGACACTCTGCCGCTATATGATAGCCTAATGTTTTGTGCAAGTAAGAACACGGATCGGATTCACCTCTATAATAAAGTAAGCGTCACTGTTCAAATTTCATTGTTCATTTCAGATTCTATAGCTTGAAACATAGAAGAAAGCTTCCTTTTTTCATTTTGCATTGAAGATAGTCAATTTCATTAACAGTGAGATAGGAAACTACTTTTTTCCTCTGTAAAGCTAATTAAAGACAGTGAGAAGTAAAACAACATAGTCTTTCAAAGCATAGACTTCAGGGCAAGACTGCTTCAGTTCAAATCTATTACTAACTGTGTAATCTTGGGCACATTAAGTGCTCTGTGCTTCAGTTACCTCAACTGTAAAATGTAGAGAGGATTTGTTGCAAATTAGTTAAGTCAATACTTAGCACAATCCCTCACCCTCATGAGTTGTAAATAAGTGTTAGTTTCTGCAGTTGTCCTTTGAAGCAGCAGAAGCAGCTGTGTCTTTACAGAAGCCAAACTTTCTCAAGACTGTATTCCTTCAGGGCAGAATAAAGATAGGGGTGGAGACGGGGAGAGAAACTACTACAAACTCCTGGTAGAGAGAGGCTGGAGTGAGCTTGCTGCCAAGCAAACTGTAGCAACAGCCTGTAGCTGTGTTTGGTTCTGCTACCTTGCCTTCATACATGGACCACCTCACCTTGACATTGTTGTCTGAAATCTGAAGTGTATTTTTTTACTGTTATAAGTATTTACGAGACCCTTTACCATAAAATGTTATCATTCATTTTCTGTAATTTTCTAAATGTGACACTAAGCAGATGAAATGTTGGCATCTTTTCACGGATACAATACAGTTGAAATATAAACTTTTCATTTCTATATGAAAAACTAAAATAAAATCTAGAGGTAGAAATTTGGATAAAAACTCTTATCTACTCCTTAAAAGAAAGATCGGTAAAAGATATTTTACCCTTATATATCATATTAGAATTGTTCATTTCAGCTAGACTCCCTATGTCTAGGGTTTAGAATTACATGTTATAATTATATATCTAAATTTTAGAATTACATAATACATAGGTTTAGTATTGTATACTACAATTACGTATCTAAATTTTTAATCAACATGTAAATGCTTTGTAGATTTTTTAATAAGTGATGGTGAGGGCTGTAACATTTCTTTTTGGCTAAGATAATTGGAATATGAGTTGAACTATTATTGGTATGATAGATTCTCATACGAGATGCTCCTGTTTTTCTTTCTTTCTGTTTTTTTGAGACAGGGTCTTACTATGCAAGTGAGACTGACCTGGAACTCACCATGTAGTCCAGGCTGGTCTCAAACTCACAGCGATCCTCCTGCCACAGCCTCCCAAGTACTAGGATTACAGGTGTGCACCACCACACCCACCTGTTTTTCTTTAAAAAAGAAATAATCTCTTACCTGTGTTTAATTATCTACACCCTTGTACGAGGTTACTTTTTACCCTTAAGTTTTCAGGATGTTGTGCAGCCAATTATTGGGACCTGAATGCAGTTCTTCTTAATCTCCAGATAGTGCCATTGGCAGTGAGTCTTCATGAACCAAAATTGTCACTTTATAGAAGCAAATTTTTAAATAATTTCTGTAGAATTGCTCTGTATATCTTTTTCATTGTTCTTATAACAAATACATCAACCCATTTGGAGAGAGCTGTTCAGAATGCTGGGGGTGCTGGTTCCCTTCTTTGACATAAATGATTATGAATGATTATTAAAAAGTTTATTTGTGACTTTAGGAATAGTTATGCTGCTGTTAACTTCAAAGATGTAATGAAACTCTTCTATATTAATTTCCAGGGTACAAGCTTCCTTGTTCTTTTATTTCTAGGTTTAGGCAGTAGGAAGGGGCATTATAGAGCAGTAAACACAGTGTGCCAAGTTGAAGGCAGAAGGTTTGGACTAAGTGGGAGCAATGCTGGTTTGTAGGGAGCAAGGAGAACCTGCCTCCCCTCCTTACCTCCCAGTCCCTCCAGAATAGTGATGTTGGGGGACTCTTGTCTAGAACTTTCTAAATCACCTAGTCTATCTTAATGGAGACTTGCATATATTATTCCATAATATAATTATTTTCTTTTAAAGTAGTTATTAGTGCCTACAGACAAAATTGGATTAATAATATCTTTCTAACCTATAATCAGGATGGAAAACAGTTGAACTATAATTTCATTCCTTTGGATATAAAATTAGACCTTTGGGAAGACTTACCACCAAGCTTTCAACTGAAACAAAATCGCTCTCTGGTAAGCATGGTTATAAAAAAAAATAGTTGTATTTGTTTTAAATACAGTTTTATTAGTAATTTCAGTGATTATTTTGAGTTTAATAAACCAGTGTTTTGTGTTTTATTACAAAATCAAATCATTGGTTGCATCTTTATCTACCCAGGCAATGTCTGTTAATTACCCTGATGCTAAGAATAAATGTGAAATCTGTTTCTTTGGCAGATGATCACACCTAAAGCTGCTGTTTCTGTGGATAGACTCATCCCCACATCATTTAATTTCTCATTCACAGGATTAGCAACTGTGATATTTGTATCTATCATAATCACATTTTATCTTTTAAGGATAAATTCTGAGAGCAATTCATTGTCTGAAGCAGCAGTGCGCAATACAGGCCAGGTCACCTGCCAGAAAGCCTTAACTCTGACCTGTGGCTGGTTTACTTGTGCTTCTGAGAAGGGTCACCATGTATAAGGACTGACCTAGCATGCACTCAACCATTTTTTTTTAACAAGGAAATTTTGGTTTTAGTTTTGGTTTTTGTTTTTTCCGTGCTTTGAGTGAAAGTAAAGCATTGCCCTTAAGTCAGCTGTGCCTTTCTTAAAGGAAAAGTTAGCAATGGGCTATTTTCTTTGGTGTCAGGTAATCCTGAGCCTCAGATTCCCCAAAAATAGCCAGTTACATGTAATGAACTAATAAGTAAGAGTAATGGCAACCCTAATTAAAAGGTCCCAAATGTATTGATGGCTATGGCTATTTTTCCAATAATTTATGCATCAGAAAGTGCTTCTCAGATGCTGCACTGTTACTCTGTCATCTGTCAGCCCTGCAAGACCTGCTATCTCCAAGACAAGTTTTGCCTTGGCTACTGCTCGAGTATGTTCTAGACCTATTTTGGTCTCTTTTTTTTTTAGACCTATTTTTGCCTTGATGTGCACATCATCAATATTGGTCCTTGTGTGTGATAAGGACACATACTGCATATCCTAAAATAAGACTTTTAGAAATCTTTGGATTGAGAGAGATCTCTTTAAAATTGTCTGTTGATTGCAATGAATATATGAAAATTAGAGTAAATTGAAGAAATTTTGTTTCAGGTATATAACAAAACATGTTTTCTCATGCTGTGAATAACTTAACTTTCAAATGAGTATGCCTGGTGAGCTGTTCACTGTTTTTATTATTTCATTTTCTGCCAGATTTTGAGATTTGTTCGAGAATGGAACAGCCTAACTGCCATGAAGCAGAGGATAATCAGGAAAAGTGGGCAGCTATTCTGTAGTCCAGTTCTTGCTTTAGAAGAAATCACAAAGCAACAAGCCAAACAAAATAGTACCAAAAGGTGTGAATTGTCTTTTCTATTTCATATTATGTTACTTTTCATGACTATTTCTATAGGTAATCTGAAGCATCTTAGGGAAGTGAAATCCTAATGAGTTAAAAGTAAAATTGTAGCCGGGGATTTAGCTCAGTGGCAGCCTGGCAAGTGCAAGGTCCTAAGTTCAGTTCCCAGTACTGAAAAATAAAATAAAATTGTATATAAAAGTAGTTATTTTATAGCAACATATGAGATATTTAGGGAATTTGATCAAATCGTAGTTCTCTGTAGACTCCTTTCTCAAGCAAAGTTTATGAGGTCGACTGCTCTGTAGCCCAGGGACTGCTTTCGAAGAGATCAAAAGCAATAAGCCAAACTGCAACATTGGCAGAGAGAGCTTTGTCTCTTGCTATCTTCATATACCTGTAATCTCTTCTCATCCTCACATGCCAGCACTTCACAATCTCAGTTCTTTAGCTTTTTCCATGCATACAGATTTTTTATTTTTTATTTTTATTTATTTTTTTTGGTACTGGGGATTGAACTCAGGTCCTTGCGCTTGCAAGGCAGGCCACCGAACCACTGAGCTAAATCCCCAGCCAATACAGATTTTTTAAATCCATCAATGGTAGGTATATTGGGAGCAGGGCATGAATGATTACAGAAATTCTAATAGTGCCATACAATGAAAAATTTCTTCAGCTGTTTCAAAGTGTGTTGTCAGGTACATTTGTGCATAAGAATAAGAACAATACTTGTGATAATTTACTAAGAGTAAAACTTTGAAATTTTTAAAAGTAGAGATATATACTTGCTATTATTGACCTAGAAATTGTCTAGAAGACCACTTTAAAAACTTAATGGAGGTTTCTCAAGGAACCCAAGGGCACTCCACCTGTGAGCTACATCCCCAGGCTTTTTGAGGCAGGATTTAGCTAATCCACCCAGGAGGGACTCAAATTTATGATCTTCTTCCTTTGCCTCCCAGAGTGCTGGATTTTAGGCATGCACCCTGCTTCCAGCTTAGGATTCATCTCTTAAAAATGTTAAATGGGCCGGGGACTGCCTGACTCACAAGTGAGTTTGATTCCCGGTACCAAGAAAGAAAAAAGTTAAATGACTCCAGAAAAAAGACATATCGGTACTGACTTTGGCATTCCCCCCTTCCCAAAGCAATGGCTAGATTTCTAATAAGATTATCCTCCAGTGACTCCACCAATTTGTAGGCGTCATGTAAGCTGGGAGCTGGCAACCTGCTTTTGGGTAGCTCACTCTTAGATGTAAATTAGAGCCAAGATCTTTAACCATTGTTAGAGTGAGTTCCATTTTTCAGAGGCAGGCCTGATTTTGTGGGAGCTCTGTCTTGGTCAGATACCAACTCTTTGTCCTTGTCCTATACCTGATGTACAAAGCAGGTCAGCAACCCAGAGCCCATGCTTGTATTCATTAGTGTGGACTTCTTTCCAATACACACTCTTCTCTCCTTGTAAAAATTGCTTTCTTACATTACCTCCCCATCTAGGAATTAGTTTAGTAGGTAACATTACTTCCCTATTTACCAACTTTATTTAACAAAAGGATTATTTATCATAATCCTTTTGAGAAATGCTATATTTACATGAACTTCTTAGCAAACCTCAGTGGAAAATTAAATATTGGCAACTTGGAACTAGGTTTGAAAGTTATCAGCTCCCTTCTTTGGAGTTGCTCAATTTGTTTCTGTGTTTTCCAAAAATTTTACACTTAAACCTGTTGTACAAAAGCAAGAGTTTATTATTAGTTCCTCAGTCTCTAACTGTATTTCTCAGCACATTTTAAAGTTGCTGGATTGGGTTTGTAAGCTTTTAAACATGGAATAATGCCTGAGGCAAGGCTCAATATCCCGTTGTCCCTCAAAGCTAGGACAGGTCTTAGATCATTTAGAATTTACAGAAATACTTTAGCCAAGTGCTTTTGTCAAGGGCACAAAATAGTTGAAGAAACAAAGGGCTGGAGAGGAACTTAAAGGTCAAATTAACTCAAAAATTATTTACTGTGATTTAATTTCTTTTGTACTTTAAGAAAGACACACAAGTGAAATGTAAATATATGGATATTCTGCTGTACTCTTTTAGGAGAAATGCAATTTTAAAGCCATAAGGAGATGCCCAATGAGAGAGAGAGAGAGAGAGAGGGAGAGAGAGAGAGAGTGAGAGTGTCATCTATCACCATCTGCCTGATGTTTTAAAATGATATGGTCGTGGTCATGCTGTTGAAAGTGTAGGGACACAGGTGCTCTCAGTCAGTGCTGGTAGAGACATGCACTACTGCAACCTGAAAGCAGTTCATCAAAATCTACCCATGTATAAAGCACCCAGAACTTTTCACCCAGGAATTCTACTACTTCTGGGTATTCGACATATACTTCAAGTATAGAAAATATAATGCACACACATATCTATAGTAGCATTGTTTGTGACAGCAAATACTGGAAACAACCTAAATGCCGTTAATCAGAGACTGCTTAGATGTATAGTTTGTCCAAATTACAGAATAACATGTAACCATTAAAAAGAACAGAGCAACTCTGTGTATACCAATGTAAAAAGATCTCTGAGATGTTGGTTCTGGAAAAAGAAGCAAGGTGAAGATTAGTGTCTATACTACACTATCATTTTTTTCTAAAAATTAAAATAGTAGTAAGTGAATAGCAATGAATATAAGTTACCTTCAGGAAATGGAGAATTGGATGAAGATGTTCTGGGGTTAGTAATGGTGATGGTTATACAATCTTGTGCCTATACCAAAATACACCAAATTGTAGACTATAAATTGGTGAATTATGTGGTATATGAATTATTTCAGTGAAATGCAAAAATAAGTAAAAGATACACACAAATTACTTCTTTAAAAACTGGCAACAGGAATAGGTTCTGGGGAAGGGGAAAACAGAAATGAGAGGGAAACTTGCTGTTTACTCTATATAAACTATTGTATGCCTTTAAATTTGGAACAGCATGCACATAATCACCTAATCAACATTAATAAAATAGGGCCAGGCGTGATGGCGCATGCCTGTAATCCCAGCATTCGGGAGGCTGAGGCAGGAGGATTGCTGTGAGCTCAAGACCAGCCTGGACTATATAGTGAGTTCCAGGGCAGTCTCAACTACATAGTGAGACCCTGTGTCAAAAAACAAACAAACAAACAAAAAAATAGTTTATAGAAAGAAATATGTTTATTACTAAATCTGCCATTACTAATTTCAGACCAAAGCAGATTTCCTAAAATTTCACCTATGATTGCATGATTTTGTCATGATTGAACTCTATTAAGCTACTTAAAGGCGTGAAGAAATTTGTTTTTTTTTTTTTAATCTACAAAGGGTATAAATGACCAGAGAAACTGGGCCATACTAATTAGAAGGAATTAATTAGGTAATTGCATTTTACCTGCTTAAATTCCTATCACCTTAACTAGAATTACTGTTGTCTTTACTTCTAGCGCCTAGACCATTGTGTGTATTGATAGTATTGTATAATAAGGTTCTGAGTCCCACATCAAAGCTTTGTTTCAGTGGAAGATTCCATAACTCTTGTATGAACTGACACTAATGGGAACAACCTTGAGATTATAGTAGGTGTGACTGACTATGGTTATTCAAAAATACCGACACAAGTATGGCAACTGAGGTGAATTGGAGGAGCCTTGCTGGGAAGGTCAAGAGGGAGATAAAAATATACTTGGAAAATTTCCACATAATTCAGTGAGCAGTTTCCTTAAGGCTGTCAGTTGTGCTTCTATTTGATCATTTCTAATTCCCACACTCAATTTATTTCCCTAAATTTTGAAAATTGGCCCAAATGATAGTGAATGACTTAACCACTTTCTTAGAAAAATTAATCTTGAGAAAGCTAATTTGGAACAAAGCAATGTTTCTCTCACATAATAGTCCCCAGTCAATGTAAAGGGCATGCATTCCGCGTTCATTTAGTAATAGCACAGTCAATAGAACCATATCTTGCTTTTGCAAGGAGCAAGTGAATATGAAATAGAGAAACGTATATGTGTAAGAAAGGAAATATACTTAACATGTAATTGTTCCAGATACATAACCAAAGAAGATGTTGCTATAGCCTCAATGGACAAGGTAAAAAAAGATGGGGGACATGTCCGTCTGATCACAAAAGAATCCCGGCTGCAGGACCCTTCAATAAAGTAAGGATATGGTAGTAATAAGAATACTTTTTAAAATGTATATATTAATTTCAGTAGTATTACCTAACTTTTGTGTGGCTACTGTAGATGTTACAAAGAGATACCAGGATTTAGTAACTCTTCCATCCTTCTAGCATCCCTATGAAATCTTATCACCTTAAAAATTAGAGATGAAGCCGGGCATGGTGGCGCACACCTGTAATCCCAGCACTCAGGAGGTTGAGGCAGGAGGATCGCTGTGGGTTGGAGACCAGCCTGAGCTACACAAAGTTCCAGGTCAGTCTCAACTACATAGTGACACCCTGTCTCAAAAAACAACAACAACAAAAAATTAGAGATGAGGCAGACCAGGTGACCTAAGTGACCTCCCCTAGGTCTGGGTAGAAGATGCCAGGAGACCTGAGATAAATCTTGGCTCAGCCTCACAATCTTGAGTTCTTTCAACTATAAAAGGCTTTTATTTTGACCCTTCTACCAACCAACCATGGAAAATAAGCAAAACATTTTTTACTTCCCATGGCAGGAATTTTCAACATAATTGAATAATGTACTCTTTGTGGGGTGAAGGCCCAACATATGCCAAGCAACCACTCTACCACTGAGCTGCATTCCCACCCCCACTTCCTTTTTAAATTTTCTTTTGAGATAGGGTCTCGTGATGTTTCCCAAGTTTCGAATTTGCAATCTGCCTATCTCAACCTGTGGTGATGATTACAGATGTGTGTCACCAGGCCCAGTTTATTTCTCCTTTCTTGAAAAGTTATTATGTTTCCTAACAAACTAAACTCTTATGCTATCGTGTTTCATTCCTGTTTTTGTCAACTCTGACTTTACCTGTTGATCAAATATCACACACAAAGGTCTGGGGATTTACTTCGGAACTGCGCCTGCCTCACAAGCTCAAGGTCATTGATCCCCAGTACTACAAACAAAACAAAACACAACACAGCAGACACAATATCTACCAAACCTTTAGTTCTAATTCCTGTCAGCATTGTCGGCTACTTTGCTGTGTCACTTTATGGCTGTGAAGATTTGCAGTAACCTCTCTGGCCTGTTGAGGTATGTGACCCACCGTACTTAAGTAGCAAGCTAGCTAGCTACTAAGCTTTAGTTGGGGTTTTATATTATCCTGTTTTGTCTCAGTCTGAAGAAGCATTTTCTTCTCATTTTCCAACTTCTCTAAATGTTTCAGTCTGATTGTTTAACGTGGATGCATCTAAGTTCCTGAAGTCAGCATAAATCAAATTAATTTTTGTATTGCACCATTCTTCCTTTGCTATGGATTATAGAGTACTGACTATAGCTAGCTTATCTCCACAATGAATCACAAAATCTATGTTCATCTGTGTTCACTGTTTAGATTTGCAAACTTACATGAAGTCGTGACTATTTTAGCATAGTCATTCACTAGTGACCTATCCAATGTTTTGTTCAATTGCAGAAATTTTCTTAAAGATGGACCATGTAACCCATTTGTAAATCCCCACACATCCCAAGCTGATCTCACGGTGAAGTCTTCTGCATCTAAAGGCTATTTGCAAGCTGTGGATAATGAAGGACATCCACTTTGCCTTCACTGCCAGCATCCCACTTGCCAAAGTAAGCAAGAGTGTACAACAAATGCATGGGATTCACGGTTTTGCTCTCTAAAATGTCAAGAGGAATTTTGGATGCGATCTAATAACAGTTACCTGCGAGCCAGAGTATTTGAAATTGAACATGGCGTGTGTCAGCTATGTAATGTGAATGCACAAGAACTCTTTTTACATCTTAGAGATGCCCCTAAAAGTCAGAGGAAGAATCTTTTGGATGCTACCTGGACTTCAAAACTCTCATTAGAACAGGTAAATTATAGTCATGTGACAGAAGGCAGCATTGTACTGAGTGATGGGTAGTACTTCATTTTGTAACCTTTTAACTTGGGAATTTTCAAATATATATATAAAAGTAGAGAGAATAATGAACCCATATATGCACCGTCTAGCATTAGCAGCTACCCACGTTTTACACTTGGTCTTAAAAAAGGCCAAGAAGCGATAGCAGTTACCACATTTTGCCAGTTGTTTTCATCTGTCCCTTGCATCACTTCTTTTTTTCTCCTAAAGCAAATTACAATTTAAATTTTTTTTATTATGTAACTCACGAGTAAAGACTTCCTTCTTTCCTCCTTCCTCCTCCTCCTCTTTATCCCTCTTCCCCCTTTCTTTCTAATACAATCACAGTGAATTATCACTCCAACACAATTATAATTCCTTAAATTACAATAAATTCGTATTTCCCAGATTGTCTCAAAAATGTCTTTCTGTAGTTGCTTTGTTCAATTTAAGATCAAAATATGACCACACATTATTTTTTATCATTATGCCTTTTAGCCTCCATTTGATCATACTAGCACCTTTTTGATTGTTGAAGAAACTGGATCATTTGTCTTTGGGATTTCCTACCTTCTGGATTATCTCCCATTATTCTCATAGTGTTGCTAGATATGTTCTTCTATCCCCCACCAATTTCCTGAATAACTATATATTAATTGTAGATTCTGATTTGGTTATTTTGCGAAAGATCATAACAGGGGACTTGCTGCATCAAGAGACACCTAAAACTGCTTTTCATGATGTTAATATTGAATGACATGGGGCAAATGGATACTCCCAAAGTGTAGTTCATTATGGTGTTCACAAATGTGATTTAGTAAAGTGATTTATGACACACTGTTCTTTATAGCACATTATCATCAGTATTCACTTTGATTTGCAAAACTCCATTGGATTTTTTATTTTGTTATCTAAACAGTTCTAAATTTCAACCTAAAACACAACATATAATTTTTTAGTAGGCTTAGTTTAAAAAGGATCACTCCCAGAGCCAGGCATGGTAGTACACGCCTGTAATCGCAACACTCTGGAGGTGAGGCAAGAGGATCAGCACAAGTTCAAGGGCAGCCTGGGCTACATAGTGAGACCATGTCTCAAAAAACAAAACAAACCAAATAAATTTGGAAAAGGATCACTCCTGAACCATTCTCTGTTCATCAAACTATTGCATGAGGGGCAGGGGATTTAGCTCAGTGGTTCTACCGCCTGCCTGCCTCACAACCACAAGGACCTCAGTTTGATCCCTGGTACCCCCCAAATATATATATATTGCATGAATTTCTGTCAGCAACGTTTTTTATTTATCTAGTATTGATAAATTATAATAGAAATAGTAAGCATTTCTATAAAGATGAATTAGTGTGTCTTTGAGAGCTAGAAAAATATGTACTATTTCCCTAGTGACATACAGAGTTTCTGAGAGATCCTTTGGTCTAATTGATGAGAGACATATTGCACCCCTTCTAGGGGTATTGGCCAGACTCCAGTTGCTATCTGCTGCCACAGTGTGAAGGCTTCCAGAACATGATTCAAGGTCAATTTGAAAGCCACCTTTCCAGGAATGTAGAAGTAACCTGGTAGACATCCAGAACAGAAGTCCTTTAAGGATAAGGAATACACAGGGCTCAGGTAGGGACAGTCCTGTCGGAGGCAGTGATTCTTCCAAGAGGTCAATTTAGAAGAGAGGCCCCAAGTGATTTACTGTACAGTTGCTAGGAAAAAATAAAGAAGCACCTTCTGGATTATTGAATATGTCAGAGTGAAAGCTGCTCAGAGAGAAGGCGTTGGTTACAAAAGGCAGAACCAAGATGGATTTTTTTTCCTAAGAATATGTCATTTGCTTGATGTGCAAGACTGCCATTTGTAGTTGCTTCTAACAGTGCCAACTTCAAAAATAAAAATCAATGCATCTTCTAACAGAAATTGGGAAGTTAGTACAGAAGAGAGAATGACACAGGCAGTAGGAGAGATCAGCGGGACAAAGTTTACTGCTCCAGCTTGCTGCCTCTGTGGCTCCTCACAGGTCAGCCCTATTGATAAGGTCACTGTGTCATCAGAGGGTCTGACAAGCTTTCTTAAAAGTGCTTAAGAAACAATCATGGCTTCTCATCGTTACCAGTCATGATGTGTATTATAATTTGCAAGACTAAGAAAAAAGAACTGCCATACTATTTGTGATATTCATTTTGTTTGTTTGTTTGGTTGGTTGGTTGGTTTTTTTTGAGACAGGGTCTAACTATATAGTGGAGACTGACCCGGAACTCACTGTGTAGCCCAAACTGGTCTCTAACTCACAGTGATCTGAGTGCTGGGATTACAGGCGTGCTCCACCACGCCCAGCTACTTATTTGTGATATTCTAACAATTGCACTCCCATAGTGCTAGTTAGTTTTGCAATCTCAGGTAAAATGTTAAAATGCAATCCCATTTTAATGTAGGTCATCAGTGGCTAAATATAATCTATATAGTGGCTGTTTTTTTGTTTTTCCTTTTGGTACCAGGGATTGAACTCAGGACCTTGAGCGTTCAAGGCAGGTAGCGGCACCACTGAGCTAAATCCCTGGCCCCATAGTGGCTGTTTTAAATGGACATCTTTATTTCTTGCGAAAGTTACCAAAGCTAGTTCTAGAAATCTCATTCTATTCCATGTAACTTAAGAAGTGCTCTGTGAATAAAAGGTCTGGGTGATAGCTATTAATATTAAACTGCCACTGATACAGTAACAAATGCACTTAGGTCAACAGTGAAAGTTAGTAATATTGAACCATGTTTAATTTTCAATCTGTTCTCATTCTTTTCTCATTTTTGGTTTAGTGACTGTATAAACTAAATGAAAGGTGCAGGAATTACCAGTTTTCCCCAATCTATCAAGAGCCATGGTATTTCATACTAGCTGAGTAGTATTTCAAAATACGTTAGGAGCCAGGCGTGGTGCCTAGGATTACATGCCTATAATCCCAGCACTCAGGAGGCTGAGGCAGGAGGATCACAGGAGTTCAAGGCCAGTTTGGGCTACACAATGAATTCAAGGACAGCCTGAACTACATAGCAAGATCCTATCTCTTGAAAAAAAAATGTTAGATAAGGAGAAAATACTTTTTCAGAAATACATTTTACTAGTCAAATTGCCAAGCTAGGGATTTGTTTTTTAACTCAAAACAAAATCTATGAAAGCTGCCCTAATTATTTTCTCCATGATATTGCTGTGTAGACATGATTACACAACACAAAACCAACAGTTCCTACAGTGTATTGAAAATTGCTGATCTTGTGTTCTCATTGCAGCTAAATGAAATGATAAGAAACCCAGAGGAAGGACAATTCTGGCAGGTGGATCACATTAGGCCGGTATACGAGGGAGGAGGACAGTGCTCCCTGGACAATCTGCAGACTCTCTGTACAGTTTGTCACAAAGAGGTCAGTGACACACGGCCAACATCCTAGGAACCCCAATTGATAATTGTGCATACAGGTTTGGGAAAGTGTGAGTGTGAGACTAGACCCCTGCTCTGGGGTCCAAGGTGCATTTTCATTTCCATTACCCAAACTTTGCCTTTCTTCTTAGGACCTGTATAAGTGCTCAGTCACAGACATAAGAGAAGCTGCTTTCTACTTGATGCATTCTAGAACCAAGATGGATCACCACCACCTAGAAATATAACAATACAATTTACAGATTGTGTGGTCTTTTTTTTTTTTTTTTTTTTTTTTTTGGTAGTGGGGATTGAACTTGGAACCTTGCCCTTGCAAAGCAGGTGATGGAACCACTGAGCTAAATCCCCAGCCCTGTGTGGTCTTAGTTTGTTTTTGTTAAGTTTTTTGTTTGTTTGTTTGTTTGTTTGTTTGTTTTTGAGACAGGGTCTCACTAGGTAGTTGAGACTGACCTGGAACTCACTGTGTAGCCCAGGCTGGTCTCAACTCACCCAGATCCTCCTGCCTCAGACTCCGAGTGCTGGGATTATAGGCATGCGCCACCACACCCGGCATTGTTGTTAGTTTTGTTTTCTAGACACAGGGTCTTGCTGTGTAGTCCAAACTGTCCTTGAACTCACTATATAACCCAGGCTAGCCTCAAACTCATTGAGATCTTCTGACCTGACCTCTGCAGTGCTGGGATTACAAATCCTTGTCACCACACCCAGCCAGATTGCATGGTCTGGAACAACTCAGACCTGCAAACTGGAAGTGTTATTGATTGCAGTTATACATGCTCATATATGGTTAAGGCTGTCCTTGGGAGGCCAAGGCAGGAAGATCACAAGTTCAAGATTAGGCTGAGCAATTTATCTGAGACCCTGTCTCAAAATAAAATTAAAAGGGCTAGGAATGTAGTTTAGTGGTAAAGCTCTTGCCTAACATGCACATGGCCTTGGGTTTCATCCCCTGTACCAAAAAATAAATAACTGAATAAAAAGATATCCTAAATTATCTGAGAAAATTTGTAAATTAGCTGTAGAAATAACTCTAGAATTAGCTCAATAAATAGGCAGCATGAAACCTTTTAACTTTGACACGTTTGAGAAATTACATGACATGTGAATCCTTTTTTAGCCTTCTTTTAATGTTTGAGATTCTACAGTTTCTTCACGAGTATCATACTTACATAGGTGAGATTGTGTCAGATTTGTCTGATATTAGCCTATTCCCTCTAGCAGGTTTTGTTTTTTTTTCTTTAATTTTACCTTTTCTCTTTTTACTCTTTCCACTTGAGTGTCTTCACATGCAGATGGACCTCAGTTGGAAAAAAGTCATCTAATTACTCAGCTATGCAAATTACTAACAAATTCAAGACCTATGTGAGAATTAAAAAATGGCCACAGAAAATGCAACCCCTTCTGTACTTTCTGAGATTCCCATGAAAATTTTACTTCTGGGATCAGTAGAAGAATCCAGTTGCTGTATTCCCTACACTGGCTTGTTACTTGAGGTGGGCATGGCTTCTGGCCCAGAGAGTAGGAAGTGGGTGAGCCTTTCCTCGCTACTCTCTGGGAAATCCCAAAATGTCTTATGAGCACCCACCTGGAGGAGGAGAAAGAATTATGGTCTCTCCTCATCCCCAGTGAGATTCTTGGCATTAGTGGGTTGTAAACCATTCCTCAAAGGTGTGAGTTTTCTCCTCCAGAGTCCTAGTAGACCTAGGTTCTTGGGGCACTTGCCAGAGCCACGAGGCCTCTCTGTCTTGTGCTATGGAGAACCTCCTTATGGCCAAGCACTAGGTGAAGGCACAGTGTTGATTTCTCCAGACTAACAGTACAGAGTTTCTGAGCTTCTATACCCAGTGCTTTTTTTGTAATGTATACACATATGTGTTTGTTAACTTCTAGAGAACTGCCAGACAAGCCAAGGAAAGAAGCCAGGTGAAACGACTAGCTGTAGCGTCAAAGCATGGATCAGACATAACACGATTTTTGGTGAAGAAGTAAGGTAGAAAAAGATATAAATGGATGACACATAATTTACGTATGGCAGAATTTAACCCCTCCTAATGTTTTTCATGTCTAATATTCTGAGTGAAATTTTGAAACATCAGTAATTTAAATTCTGGCATTGTACTGAGTACTTTTAGCGTTAAGTAGTTCTTGCAAGTATTTGACAGAAACTGAGATAAAATACTAAATATTTTTATGGTCTTATTGGTTCATGAAGACTTTCAATTAGTTTTAGCAAGATTTTGTTAAGCTTTCTTTTTCCCCTAATATTCCTTAATCACTGTGTTATGCATAGTGTTTGAAAAATGTGCTTTCTATTACCTGAAGAATGCTTCTAGATTAGAATTGGTTTGGGACTGTTATAGGTATAAATGGAACATTACAAAACAATAAGGAGTATTTTAGAAGTGAATCATCATTATGTAGAATTCTGGGCCACGCCTGATCAACTTGCTTAGTATGCAAGAAAGACTTATTTCACTAAATGCTTCCAAATACTAAATGCTACATATTTTGGATATTACATTTTTTGCTTTGTTTTTCAGCAAATCCTCTGTATTGAAAAGAAGCTTTTTAAAATAAGTTAATTGTACCTATGGTTTTTGTGAAAATTTTGGTGTTCTGAGTAATTGTTAAAACTATTAAAGAACTGAAATCAAAATGCAAAATGCAATATGAGCCTCATTTTTTATGTTTTTTCTTTTTTTAATGTGCAAAACTAGGCTGTCAAAACACTCATCTCCTGGTACTCATTTTCTGTTTTAAAAATCCTGTTTTATTAAAAAAGTATATTTCTGATGCCTCTTTTAAAAGGGTGATAATTGATAATGATGACACTTTATAGTAAAGCATAATCACAGGGTTATATGCACTAAAAAATACAATGGCAATAAAATGTAGCTGCATTTAAAAAACAAAGGCAGTAATGAAAGAAACCCAAGGTGTAATCCTGCTTTATATCTGAGAGTAAAAGCAATGAATCAGAATTAGACAGTACAAGGCTGAAAAGAGAATTACATTCCCCAAAAGCACCTGTTTATAAATATTTAGATATAAACGTCATTTGCTTGAGCATTTTCTGGTTTTAATTAGTTGACATTTTATGTATTTTTAGAAAAATTATATAATCATGAATGTTCCTTCTAGAGTTGTTATTAAGTTTATAACCATTCAATTGTATGAACTTGTAGTGTTGTTTGTTTTAAAAATTAGGTTGGGCTTTCTTTGGCCTCTTCTGCTTTGCTGCTCGGGCTTTTTGCAGTTTTCTGCCTCATTTCCAGGGTAACCTAGGATTTGTCACGGTTGAGAGCTGAGCAGCCCCACAGCCTGGCATTCTGCCTTTCCTGCACTACGAAGTATGTGCAAGCAACAGTTTCATCTAAATAGGTCAAATTTGACTGGAGCTTGGTCTTTACATCAAACTAGGATAGTAATTCTCAGGAGAGAGTTCTTTGGATGTAAGATCTGTATGACAGCTTGAGGTGAAGTAATCCATGAAGATGGTTTCTCTCTGTGCTAGATTTCAAAATTCTGGCCAATTAAAAATGCTGTCAGGGACACCCGGTATTTGCCACAGGATGTCAGCCAGCTCATCTCCAGTCCTTCCCGACATGTCACAGAGCTGCCCTGCCTTCTTCTGATGTGATCTGCTTTACTTAGGGGGCATATTGAGATGAAAGGTTTTGGTACTGAAAATGAAAAGAGAGATTGATCTAATAGCTAAGACCCCAGGGCATCTTAGGGAAGGTATTCTTTCATGCTCACAGTCTTTTTTAGTATATGTGCTGCCAAAGCAAGCATTTCATGCTCACAATCCGAAAGAGAAGCTGCCCTCTACAGATTGCAAATGGAAGGTTCTAACAGGGACACAGGCTATCGAGCAAGCAGCAGACCCTGTAGGCAGGAAGAAGTGCAAAGTGCTCCCCAGGGAACAAGACAGCAGCAGCCAAGTGGGAAATGGAGATGAATTGAAACAGCCACAGGGTCACAGGGCTATAAAGATGGGCCCAGCTCTAAAAAGGCTCAGAAAAGGAAAATAAAAAGATTGTGGGTCCAGGGAACAGAACTGGGACGTGGAGGCCAGGGAATGAACCACTTTACAATATGATACCATGTGAGACTACGCCTATGATGAGAAACCGAGCAAGGTTTTGAACTGCCTCAGAAGCACAGTCAGTTTGGGGGTGCTGTCAGCGGGGTGGGAGGCTGTTTCTAGAGCAAGGCGAGGCTACACACCCAAACTACATGGCCAATGTCAGATCCAGTACTTTCCTGTTCCTGTCACTGAGGGACATGGATCCCAGACACTCTCTGATGTATTAGTAGCCCCAGAGCCCAGAAGGAATTCATGTGGAACTTTTAAAGAAGCCTACGCTCAGAATTAATCATAGCCTAATGTACATTTCCCAGAGAGATTTTCCTGTGACAAATGAATACCCTTCTACATTTTCTTAGCTATGGATGGGAAAATAATTTTCTGCCCACACATCTTGCTAATAAATTGAATCTCTTCTTCAGCTCTTTGAATGAAACATTTTAAATATAGTTCCTTTAGAAATAAAAGTACGAAGCACATTAAATTATTTGTCAAAGAAGACACTCTCTTGAGAGTAAAATGGGAAGATTCTTTTAACTTAGGTACAGAATCAAGGAAATAAAACATCAAAAATAGATTGTAGGGGGCTGGGGATTTAGCTCAGTGGTTCCAGCGCCTGCCTTACAAGTGCAAGGACCCAAGTTCAATCTCTGGTACCAAAAAAAAGAAAAGAAAAAAAGATTGTAGGAATAATATCTCATTCTTTTGTTTTATGTTTTTTGAGACTTACTATGTAGTTGAGACTGACCTGGAACTCACTATGTAGCTCATGCTGGTCTCGAACTCACAGCGATCCTCCTGACTCAGCCTCCCAAGTGCTGGGATTACAGGCACTCGAACTCACAGCGATCCTCCTGACTCAGCCTCCCAAGTGCTGGGATTACAGGCCTGTGCCACCACGCCCAGCTCTCATTATTTATTACATACTTTTTACCTGTCTCTCATTTCACCTTTTATTCTTTTTTTTTCTTTTTGGTACCGGAGATCAACCTCAGGACCTTGCACTTGCAAAGCAGGCAGTGGAACCACTGAGCTAAATCCCCAGACCTACCTTTTATTCTTTTGAACTGGAAAATAGTAGCACACTCCTAGTCTTTGCACGAATCTATTTGAATATTCAAGACTGGCAATTTGGCCCAGTGGTTCTGCCACCTGCCTTGCAAGCACAAGGGCCTGAGTTTGATCCCTGATACCAAAAAAAAGACTTGAGAATATTCATCCAATTTCATCCCAAGGTTGTTACTTGCCTTCTGTTAAGGGTGTTGCCTCCTGGATGTGCTCTTATTTACCATCAAGAAATGTCATTCTTCCTCATATGCATTTTGAGTTCCAACCATATGCTTCTCTGGCCCAACGGTTTCTTTTCTAGTTCTAACAAATTGCTGACTAGTCTTTTCAGCAGTTGATAATACTGTTTTCTGGAAAATGGCCTTTGGAACACTTGAAAATTTATGTTAATTATTTTGCTTTTGTTAAAGTATTCATATTTCACAGTCTGCCTGCTCTCACACATCTGACTTCTACAACAAATGCCATTATCACATTGCAGAACCTCACATGCCTACAGCTATGTGATAGCTGTGTTAGCTTTTGGTGAGTATAACAAAATATCTGAGATAGTCAGTTTATGCACATAAAAGGTTTATTTTTAGCTCACAGTTTTAGAGGTTTTAGTTTGTGATCAATTGGCCTGTTGTTTTGGGGCCTATAGTGAGGCAGTGCACCCTGGTAGGAGCATGTAACAGAGTAAAACCATTTACCGCATCAATTGGGAGATAGAAAAAAGAAAGGGGTTGAGATCCCAAAATCCCCTTCAAAGCAGTGACCTAGATGATCTAGCACAGGTTTCGTGGTGTTTTGATAGTGCCACCAAGAGGACCAAGCCTGTAAAACACAGGCATTTCAGAGACTCAGAGTAGCAATTAGCTAGTCTATTTAATAAGATCTTAGGTTTTTGATCCAACATGCCTGACTCGAGAAGGGCTAATATTGGAGAGGTTCATAAAGGATTCACTGAAAATACAGGTACTCTGAAAACAAACCCTGAAAAAAAATTAATCTGAAAGATGATACAGTTGGATCAGACCAAATACCTGGATTGTTGAAAAGGTGCAGTGGCACTGTGCAGCTGGTCTGTGCCACATCCCTCCAGGGAGCACCCATCATGAAAGCATCCCTCATTCCCTGCATTGCTGTCTTCTTTTATGTTTAGTTGTGTTTTCATAGAGAAATATTTCAGTTGCTTTCTTTTGTATGCATATTATATTCTCTATTTTCTTTTTTGTTAACCATGGATAGTACATACAACATACTAAGTTTTAACCTTGTACTTTTTTTTTTTTTTTTTGGTACTGAGGATCAAACTCAGGACCTTGCAGTTGTAAGGCAGGCAGCAGAACCACTAAGCTAAATCTCCAGCCTTAACTCTACTTTGAATTTATACTAAATTAACTTTAATAGCATATAAAAACTGCTCCTTTAAAGCTCCATCCCCAAATTCTTTCAGTTATTAATATAAAAACTACATCATTATCCATTGTGTGTTCAAAACATAGAATTTTATTTATTTATTTATTTATTTATTTTGGTATAGGGATTGAACTTGGGACCTTACGCTTGCAAGGCAGCTGGCAGAACCCCTGAGCTAAATCCCCAGCAATAATTTTTTTAAATATCAATCTCTTAAATTATGTGAAAGCAAAACTGGAGTTGCAAACCATTTACAGTAATACTAGCTTTTATAATTTTATATATTGTCTTTACTAGAGATACTTAATTTCTTCATATGGCTTTAAGTTTTGTCTGTGTCAGTTTATTTCAGTTTGTAAGGCCTCTTTTATCACTTCTTAAACAGCTAATCAGCCTCTTTCTGTGAATGTCTTAATTTTCCCCTCAATTTTGTTGGACAGTTTTGCCAGGTATGAAATTCTTGGTTGACAGGTTTGGGTTTTTTTCCTTGTATATCAACCTACTACCTTCTGGCCTTCAGGATAGTGAACCTTCCTTGATGTGATGAGTCACCTCTGTCTTGCTAATTTCACAGTTCTTTGTCTTTGCCTTTCAACAGTTGACTTCAGTGTGTC